CTTGTTATCTCAGATTCTCCAGCATCTGCAGTTCCTACTATCTCTGAAACAAAGTTATCCTTCCTGTCTGTTTTCTATCATTTCGACATTTTGCTTATGTTAATTCTTTCTCATAACATGTGCCTTCAGTTTTGATTCAGTGAAGCCTTATCAAATATCTTTTGAAAATCCTTGATGATCCCCAGTTTTAATTATCAATGATTTCCCTGAAAAATGCAAGTAGAACTTATTCATTACATATCCATACTAACTGTTCCACATTAATCATTTTAACTAATAATTAACAAACTTAGGATGGAGAGAAGGAGATGGAGAGGTGAGGAGTTTGGAGAAGGAATTCCAGTGTGTATGGCTTTATGGCTTTGCCAGATGGAAATCCAACTACCAGTGGTGGGGCTAAGGGAATCTAAACACAGCAGAATCCAGGGTTGGAGAGATTTCTAAGAGAGTTGTAGGGCTGGAGTAGGTGATGGATGGATTAAATCATGGAAGGATTTGAACCCATGCATTAGAATTTAAAATTGAGACTTTGTTGGTTTGGGAATCAGTGTAGATCAGTAAGTTCTGGAGTGATAGATAGATGGAGCTAAGTGTAAGATAAGCATTGGACTGCAGAGTTTTGGATGCGACGTTGTCTTCAGTGGTACCAAAAGAATAGATAATTTTTATAGCAGAAGACAAGCTGAAACAACAGCAAAGATGGGCAGTGTTACAGAGGTGGAAATAGACCTTCTTCTGTATTGGGGAAAGTACTGGGTCAGAAGCTCAACGCAAGACTAAATATGATACTAAGTTTACAAACAGTCTTGTTCACCCTTCGATATGTTTAACCCAAGAAGGTGGATGAGTTCAGAAGAGACTGGGTGGGGACTGTCAGATAGTTTGGGGGCAGGGGGTAATAGATTTTCTAAGGGCTAAACTCAATGGCATTGGTCTTCCCAATGTTTAATTTGAGGAAGTTGCATGTCATTCAAGACTGGTTGGTGGTTCGATAAGCAACTGCAACAGAACAGTAACAATGGAGGGCTTGTTGGTGGTTGTGGTAGTGGTGAGATAATGGTATGTATCATATACACAAGGAACTTAACATCACATTTTTGGAAAATGTCAAGGTAGGAAATGGTTGGAGGCTATGGATAGGTCCTTGAAGATACTAGAGGTAATGATAGGTAGAGAAGAAAAGCCTTTAGAGAGTATTCGCTGATTATGACCAGATCAATAAATTGGCAAAACAGTCTGGAGCAGTGCCACTCAGCTCAATGACAATCACGAGATATTGAAAGAGTATGGACATATCCAGCTATGTGAAAGGTAATGGAAAGGTTGTGAAGGATGAGAAACGACAGCATACAGTGATCACAGTCACTAGGGTGTCCTCTCTAACAGAAACCTGATTGGAAAGATTCACATAGTAAAATGTGCATTTGATGGACACACTTAACAGTTATTATGCCCAAATCTCTAAAGAGTGCATGATGTTGTTTTTCTAAGTAAATAAGTCCAGTTTTAACACTCATTTTCTCTGTGCTAGAATTAGTAACAGTGCCTTTTAGCTCACTCTTACTAACAATTTGCTAAGCAAGCTGGAAACAACACAAGACCATAAGATGTAATAGCAGAATTAGGCCAGTCAGCCCATCAAGTCTGTTCCAGTCTGATCTGATCATCCTCAACTCCACTTTCATCCCTTTTCCCCATAACTCTAGATTCCATTACTGGCTAAAAATTTGTCCAGCTTTCTAAAAAAAACCTCCGTCATAATTTGAGCATTTATTGTTTTGCATTCCTAGATTTCTGTAACTGCAGGTGTTACTTTGATCAGTGAGCACCAGGAAAACTCATTTTGAAATCCATATAAAACCAGAGATGTCCCTTAGAACTCAACATAAATCTCAGTCAGTGAATCATAAAGCAAAATCTAAGTTGGCTAGCCTGACTGTTTCTTATAGATTGAAGCAATGACTATTTGAAAATTTATTTATTTAGTAACCCTTCAGTGTGAAACAAACTAATGTAACAATAAATAACTAATGTTTAAGCATTCCTGCTCATCATTCTTGGTCCCATTTTGGAACCATTATAGCCCACTTTCCTCCCTCGTCCAAAGCTTGATTTGGTTTACATAATGCAGTGTTTTCATGTCTATCCATGTACTTTAACCCAAAGCGATTTCAGAGCACTATCTCCATAAGTGAATATTTGCCAATGCTTCATTCCTATGGGAGTGCTGTTATACTCAGAATGACACTTGCTGCAAAGGGTACAACAAGCATTTCAGAATGATTTATGTCTTTGTTTCATTTCTGTGAACAAACGAAAAGTGTGTATAATGTTTCCTCATTTTAAGAAGTACGACTTCAGTAGCCTTTTACGTTTTTGTTGTCTGTGTTTGTCAAGAAAGTTAAGTGAAGACTTTCATTTCAGGTATGCAATGTTAGCATGAAACATTTCCAGGTTGGGATAACACAATTAAATGCAGAGTCAAGCAATATACCAACAAAGTGTCTCAATTCTAACCTTGTTAAGGTGCCTCTTGCTGCAGCAGTGTAACATTATTTAATTTCCTACATCAACCATTCGCTGGCAGTTCTGAACAAGATTGCTAAATTTGGGCAATTATATGCTATGGCTCATGCCCTTGAGGAACTGAGTTGGAACTGTTGAACCTGGTTTCGCGTAATACCTTAACAGACAGCACACAAGAAATACTTTAATTTTATCAGCCGGAACAAGATGTTATCTGGGTTCCAGAGGTTGGAAGGGATAACAACCAACTTACTGTCCAGAACTCTCTTTATAACATAGTTTTCAACTGGTGATGACCACATCAGATATACTGATACTGAGGAAAATAATACAAATCAAAAATTTCCAGTGACCTCTGTATCATAATCTAATGTGCATTTTAATGAACCCCATTAATTAGTTGTATTTTTTTTTTATTTTTAGAGAAGAAAATCTAGGTATGCCGAGTTAGATTTTGAGGTGAGCTCTTTCTTTAACATCTGCCAGATTCACTAATTAAATGCTGACTGCATCGAATACATCTTATCTGCATTGTTTAGTGACATGTTGATTTTTATCTCTAGAAAATAATGCACACACGAAAACGGCATCAAGACATGTTTCAGGACCTAAACAGGAAACTTCAACACGCTGAAAAAGATAGAGAATCTCCTACAATAGACAGCAAAGTAAGAATGGGTATTTCTAATCGATATGAACTCCTGTTACATTTTGGTGTGGGGCCCACAAGGCAAAACATCCTAATGATATCCATGACTCTTTTTTCACATTGTTGCTGTCATTTATCATTGCTCTAAGTTGCATGGAGGCCACACATTCCAAAACACAGTCTTGCTTTTGACCGCTTTCACTAATGTAATCAGCTATGGAAAATGAGAATTCCTCAGCTATTCATCAGCGACATTGTCCAAACCACTATGACTGGAGAGATTTGGATAGTTAAAATGAACTCTTGGATTAATGTGACTTGTTTGTGAAAACACATCAACGACAAAAGTGTGATTAGATTTCAGAATTAATTTGAGTTTTATTTTTTGCCTTTTACCTTCCCTGGTAGCTGATATTGACTTCTACAAGGTCTTGAAGCTGTCATAACCCTATTCATTGTGTAGATTGTAATTTAAATCACCAGATTTTATATTTCAATGCTAAAGTTAAGTTAAAGTCAGCTTACATCAAGACTGCAAGGGTTCTTTTAGAGCAGTGGTAATGTCCTACCGCTAAGCCAGAAGGCCAGGGTTCAAGTCCAACTTGCTTTAGAGGTACATCGTAATAAATACATCTGAACAAGATGATCAAGAATATCTGCATCAAGATTGACATGATAATGAATTGTGTGTGGAGCGTTGCACTCTCAGATGTGCTATTGTTTTGATGAGCGATTAAACCAAGATCCCATCTACATGTTCAGGTGGATGTATAATATTACATGAGACTATCTCAAAGTTGACTTCATTGCTATGGGCAGGCGTCTATCCCTCAATCAACATGATGAAAAACAGACTATCTGTTTGTTAAAGCATTTGTGTAAATCTGTTGCCATGTTTCCTACACTACAACAATCACTACACATCAAAAAAAAAATACTTAATTGTCTGTAAAATGTCTTGAGACATATTAAGATCATCAAAAGTGCTGTATAAAAACAAGTCTTTTTTACAGTCAACCTTACTTAAAAATGGGAAATGATTAACAGCAAAAGGAGCTGGCTTGTCATTGCTTGAGCCACAATATTAAGACTCATCTCGTGGATAGGTAGAGAGTAACCTGCACAAATAAGTGACCTGCAGGGATAGTGTGAAGTGGTTTGTTAATGAAGAAAATCATGAGCAATGGAAAAATCATTTGAGGCGGTCAGATCAATTTGACCAGAGAGAAAGGGAAACTTTTCTGCATTTATGACTTGGCTGAGAATGTTCTCCAAACATCGTGGTTAGTAGCTGTGTCGTATCTTGTGAATAGAATTGCGATAATGTTCTGTCGGCATTCATGAGCTGATGCAAAAACCAGCTGTTTAATTCCCCGCTGAGCATGTTCTCAGAGTAAAATGGACATGTCAGTTTTCGCTCAGTTGTAACAGTCATTCTTCAGAATCAGAAGTTCATGCACCAGGACAGAGTTTTTAATGCATAATCAATGTTGCCAGGGTGAATGTTGTTACAGTGCCGCAGGGCGGGAAGTGAGTGGGACTTTTGCTTGGAGATGGTGTGATTACACAAAATGACACAGTGGTTGACCAATTAGCTATGTAGCATTGAGGGAGTCGGCCATTTGTGCAGAATGGCAGGGCAGGAAGTTGCTCAGCCTGATTTACTTCACAGTTGTTGAAGTTTCTAGGTCCCATAATGAAAGAGCACCCGAGAAGGCATCTTTTCCCTTCATGCCAGCAGCGTCCTCTATCCATCTGAGAAGATTTCAAACTTACACTGCTATCCAGCCACCCATCACCCTTAACCCTCCGTCAGTCACCTTCCCTCCATCACTCTCCACCCTCCCACTCTCATCTAAACCCTGCCTTCAGTGACGCTCCAGTTACCGATCATCACCCTTGACCAGCTGTTTTTACACCAGCGAAGGCCCAGTCCCACCAAGTCCCAATCAACCTATATCTGTCATCCTTGATCACCGCTCTAACGTTGTTGCTCTTGGCCACTGTCAACTCTCCCAGCATCATCTCAGACCTGCCTTCAATCACGATTTATTTCCCCCCAACCCCACCATCTATCAGGGATGTTGCAGCTTTTGTCAGAGATTGGCCATCTCAGAGGTTGGTCAGCTGGATCCCAAGACCCTCCTTAGGGCCACTACAACCTGACCTACCTTCTTGGATGACAACCCACCCAAGTTCAGTGAAAGCTCAGCCTCATCTCCCCGAGTCCAGCTAAATTCCCCCTTGCAGGAAAAACAGCTCCTAATGTCTGCAGGAAGACCACACAAGACCACACCACCTTTAAACAATCATGTATCGGAAGGAACATTTGTCTTGTCTGATGTTGACTTTGCTGAGGTACATTTTAATTTGGTGACCAAATGTCTGAATAAGAATGCATACTGTTCTGATAAAACAATTTGGCTCAGAAACCATGATCTATCTTTAATCCAATGCTAATTTACTTCCCAATTTTGTTTCCTGTCTTCAGGAAATTGACACTTTGCATCCTACTCCATTCCCATCCTTTTTCCATCTCCCGGCATCTTTGCTGGATTTTTCCAATATCTCACTGCTCTATTTATGTAGTCCTGTACTTTTAAGAATGACAATATGAGCTACTGATCAGGTGGATGTAGAAGTTTGTATTGCACTAGATGAAGAAGATCAGAGATGTTCACCCAGAATATTAATGATTTCTTTATTCCTCAATAAATTGAAGTATCTGCTCATTTATTTTTGCTATTTTGGAGGCAGAAGTATGGCAGGTGGAATGTTATGGGAAAATGTCAGATTATCCACTTTTGTATAAAGAACAGATGTGCAGAGAATTTCTTAAGAAGTTTGTAAGTATGAACGTACAGAGAGACCTGGATGTCCTCGTCAAAGACAATAATCTTCCTATTTCTCAATTACATGCTGCCCCTTGGCAACGCTGTCAGAAGTAATAGCTTTAGTTTTCATATATTCACTGATGACACACAGCTCTACCTGACCACCAGCTCTCTCAGCTCACTACTATTGAATTATTATCTTTGGTTATCTGACATCAGTACTGGATGAGCAGAAATCTCCTCCGATTAAATGTTGGAAAGACTGAAGCTTTTGTTGGCAATCCCTGATCAAAATTCCATTCCCTAACTATCAACTTCATCCCTCCCTGGCAACAGTGGAAGATTAAGTATATCTATTTGTAACCGCCATGTCATATTTGATTAGAAGATTAGCTTCTGACCTCATATCTGTGTCATCACCAAGACCCTCCATGACCTTTCCCATGTGAATTAGCTTCAACTAATTTATTTTTGATTTGTTCATGGGATGGGAATCACAGGCATCATTAATTGCCAATCCATACTTGCCAGGAGGACATCCACATTGCTGTAGATCTGGAGTCGTATATAAGTCAGATCAGGTAAGGGCAGCAGATTTCCTTCCCTAAAGGACATTATTGAACTAATAGGCTTTTTGTGACAATGAATAGTGGTTACTTGAATTTAATTGCCATTGGTGAAATATGAACTCAGTGTGGAATTCGAAGCCAGGTCCCCAGAATAATGTTCTGAATTCTATACCACTTGAGAATCAACATTCCCCCTTCCACTAAACTCTCACCCATGTCTTTGTCATCCACTAGATTGAACTATTCCAGTTGTTTCCTGTCTTTGTGCTTTCCCACAAACTATTCTGTATAAACTTGAGGTTGTCCAAGCTCTTCTTCCTAGTTGTAACATTTAGCAAATCCCATTCCCTCAGCACCCTGTGCTCACTGATCTACATCAGTTCCCTCTTCCAAATGTGCACTGTGGTGTGTGAGGGGCTGTTACATTGTACCCCATGACAAATTAATGAAAGGTTTTCTGTGAGGAATATAAGAACAGGAGTAGGCCATTTAGTCCATTGGGCCTGCTCTACCATTTAACACAATCATAGTTCAAACACATAAATACCATTACCCACCCATCCCCATAACCCTTTATGTCATTGGGAATCTGAAATCTATAAAGCTGTATTTTCAACATGCTCACTCTGAGTTTACACAGCCCTATGCAGTAAAGAATTCCAAAGATTTTGCACCCTCTTAGTCAGAAAACTTCACCTATCTCAGTCCATTTTGTTTTTAAATTGTGCCCCTATGTTCTCGACTCCACAACTTGAGGAGGCATTTACCTGCACCTACCATGTCTCTCCTTTTAATTGAATATTGCAATTGAATATGTTTTATCTTGGCAATCTCTCATTTAAAAAGAGAAAGCAAATGTCATTTTGTAACACTTTATATCTCCAGCCCACACTCTGACCCCTCCTCTGAACTGGTAATCTAAACTACCACTCCATCATCTTAAATCCAACTGGAAATTTTATGAATCCTGATTAAGACATTTCAACAACTCCCTTTGAACACTTGAGTATAAACGTTTCTGAAAAGTAGAATGAAACATATATCTGGTCTTTGAGAATCGAAGATTGTAAATATGTGCTTATGTTATTTGCCATTTTTTTTTGTACCTTTGTATCTTTGTACCAAGTAGGGTAATATTAAAGCTGAATACTGTCTGGTGTACAACATTTGCAGTAGTGAAATATGGCATTTCCGTTCTAATATGTATTTTCAATGAAAGTTTACAAGGAAAGCTCAGATATTTAATGTTTTATGTGTAGGACAGAAGTTGGCTGAAAACAGTGCCATTTAGTTATCATAGAATCCCTACAGTGTGGAAACAGGCCCTTTAGCCCAATAAGTCCACACCAACCCTCAGAGCATCCCAACCAGGCCAATCCCCCTATAACTCACCTAGTCTACACATCCCTGAACACTACACACAATTTAGTATGGCCAATCCACCTAACCTACACATCTTTGCACTGTGGGAGGAAACTGGAGCACCTGGAGGAAACCCACACAGACATGGGGAGAATGTGCAAACTCCACACAGTCACCTGAGGGTGGAATTGAATCCGGGTCCCTGTGAGGCTGTAGTGCTAACCACTGAGCCACCGTTCCGCCCCCAAAAAAAT